TTCAGAGTTTTCCTATAAGAAAAATTTAATTACATACTCTTCGTTAGATAAAAGGTATAAACATGGAGCAACTTAAGTCTTTGGTGGCTTAGCTATATAGTTTAAAAATCAATCAATTAAGGAATACTCCTATGATTTGTTTTGCTTGATGTGTACAGGAATTGCATGAAAAAAGTGTGTATCTCTTCCCTTTTAGTGAAATGTTCTAAGATATAATTTGTTTGCAATTAGGTGATATAATGAGACATTAGAAAAACAAAATTGAGCAAAGAAACCCTAAATCTTAATTGAATAGATTTCTACACATAGATAAATCCCCTTAGCCAAAAATTTCTGTGCAGCATTTTATTCTGTTTATAATTTATGTTTTAAATTCCTTCTAAGGAATAATATTTAAGGGAGCTATATATTTGTATTGTGTGTCACCTTACAGACTATTAAATGTTTATATTGCTTTTACACAAAATTCAAAATATTGGGTTTCAGAGAAAATGTCAGAAACTCAGCAAGCATGAGCATGCTAACCAAAGGATGTTTGCCTCATCCTGCTGTTATATGGCTTTTTTCAAGTTTGGAAACATCAGGTGCTAATTCCCTAATTATATGGTAACCATGGGCTGCCAGTAAGAGTTCATTAAGCAGTTTCAAAGTCATCTTGTAGAACCTGTGGACGCTTCTCTCTCTCTCTCTCTCTCTCTCTCTCTATATATATATATATATATATATATATACATATAGCATTACATTGTTTTTTAATTAACAGTGAAAGAGCCAAACAGTGAAAGAGAGCCAAACAGTGAAAGAGAATTTTTATATTGCTAGGTTTGAGTCAGACAATTGATTTTGGTGACACTCAGTTATCTAAAAGCAGACATTAATTTTCCTGCTTATTTCACAAAATTTTGAGTACAATTAGGTAAATTATATATGTAAAATCCCTTGGCATAATGTAAATTCCTCTGCAAATGTATGGTTGTTTTCATTTTATTTTTTCCTGAAATGTTAGAATGCTCATAAATGCATGCACACTAACCAGAGCTATGCATTTATGTACAGGGATAGAGGTTATATGTTTGGGTTATAGAAAAGAGCCACCAAATGATAGTGTGTGTTGTAATTATTTTCCTTCTTTGCATCTATTTTCTCTAGTATAGTAATTTTAAATTTGTGGAGAGGGAATTAAAATAATGGAAACTATAGTAGGGGACTCTGATAGATTATACTTTCAAATTTAAGAATAAGAAAGAAAAGATTACTGCCTTAAATTTTTACCATAAGAATAAATTAGAAAAAACCATCTTAATTATCTGTATCATTGATTTACCCTAAAAAAATCTTTGGAAATATGTTACTACTAAAATTTAGGAATATCCCAAGTCTAAGCATGCAAACCAGGTGATGAGAACTCTGAATTATATGCCGGTTTTATTATTAGTCTTGCATGAAATAACAGTGAATAATTTTAAACAATAAGTTTTTCTAAAATTTTCCAGTAATAAGTAAAACCATTCATTGAGATAGAAATATCCTACAGCAGAATTTCTAAAAGACAAATGACATAACACCTGCATCAGCATGTATTGATAATTTCTCAACAAATTAATAAATTAGGATGCCAACAGGAAACATATACATCAGCATAGCTTTATCTTTAACTCAGGGAAGACCCTCCTGGTGATCTAATGATCAGAAGAACAAGTCAAAAATCTGCATATCTTCTTCATTTTCTTTATTAGCTATTGAAGAAATAAAGACCACCAAGGAACACTTTTATTAACTCTAAGGAACTGGATAAATTTCCCTTTTAGAATCTAGGTCAATAATTCTCAATCTTTAATATATGTAAGAACAACCTATATAGCTTATAATAAATGAATATTGCCATGTTATCACTGCATTTCAAGTTTTCATATTTCTGAATTAGTCTTTCTTAAACTTTATATCCGTGTGATCTTTGGGAGAGATGGAAAGATTAAGCACATGAACTTGAAACAAATAATCTAGATCAGCTGAAGGACCTTGAGTGATTTACCAGCAAACCAAACTGACTCCACCTTCAAGGTCCTCCTGAGTATCCAAGTGGCCTTTCTACCTTTCTAGTGGCCTTTCTATACTTCCTAGTCACCACTACCTAGCAACCTTGATTAATATTGTACATCCTCAATTAGCCAGAATTCTATAGGGTAAATTAATTAAGTGAAATGGAAATTTGTTCTAATACCTCTTGTGCAGACAACTATCTAAATAATTTCTGCTACTAAATAAAAATGTTTTAAGCAAATAATTCAATAGACTATTTTTTGCATAGCTGAAATTTTTGCGGGGCACATGCCAATGTTTCATGAGACAGGAATAAGAGAATGGGAAACTAACAGAGAGGAAGCAAAATGATTTACAGGGTATTTGAAAGATTTTATTATATTTAGGCTTTCCTCTAAAGTTTCAAGTTGAGTGCCTTAAGATTTTTTAACCTAAAACAGGAAGAAATACCTGACTGTTTCTGCAATCATCGTCCCTTGCTACAATAAAATTGACCATGCATTGAAACCATAAACAAATATACAACTCAGTTTTTCCTCATTGAGAGAAATCGCTATGTTGCCGTTACATCCAATTAAGTTTGCTGCTTACTTTCCAAAGGGTATGGGGACTATCCAGAGATTTTAAGGAGTCTGGTCCTTAAAATCTGGTCCCATACTAATATGTGAACATAATTGAATTGTAACTTCTGGTCTTGACCCCTGGAGATTCTGCTACTGCATTGTGGGATGCTTGTGGTAACCTACCAGTCATCCTGACACATTTGTCTATGACATTTGTCACCCCCATATGACACACACATCCCTTAGCAAGAAGCAAGCATACAAATAAGCTCTCTAAATAATGTTGTGTAGGTTGTGAGTAGCACACAAACATATGGTGAATGGGTCCTTTGGAGTAGTGAAATAGGGAACTCAATTCCAAGGTACAGATGCCTTTAACTTATGTTTTTGCCTTGGAATGATCAGAGAACATTCTCAGGATGATCATGAATGACCATTCCCATGATGAACACGCCCATGATGAACATGCCCATGATGATGATGATGGCCAAAGCCTTCGAAAACCTACTATATGCTGATGACTTTACCTGCATTATAAAGAAAGAAGTACCAGCTTGGGGGAAATGATTAAATATTAAAGGTTTTGAGTGATTTATGCTAGCAAATAGTATGTCCCCTTAAGGGAGGGGGTAGATGAAATGGGGTTAAATTATTAGAAAATGACAATTTTTATTGGATTTTTCTCAAAAAAAAAAAAGGAGCAGTAGAATCATGCAAAGAAAAGAAATATATAAAACATTGTAACTTAGTCTAGTACTGACAGTTTTACTTTGGAATTCCTCTATTTTCTATTTACAAATTTAGAATGCTATCAGGAAAATGTCATAAGCAGGAAAAGTTTTCTCTTGTAGGGTTTGAAGATTTAAGGTATTTACTCACAAATGATAACTTTGGGAGAGATTTAAACAAGCAAATTAAAATCAAAGTACTAAAACGGGTATAGCAGGTTTGTAAACAACCCTCCAAATCATAAAACAATACAGACCATAACAAGCGGAATTAATCACAATTTTTAAACTTAATTGTTACGAAGCCTCTTGGTCTACACCTTGGCAATAATACTTCCTTCATTTGTTAAAATTCAGAAGTCACTTAGATGATCTCAACATAATAGTCTCATCTCTAGAAATTTATACAAGTTTCCAACCAAATAAAACATAGTCATCAGTCTTTGATATTCAGTTCCCCAATCCCCCACAAATCTATAACATTCTTCATGGGTAATTCTTACATATATGAAAAATATCTTTGATCTTAGCTGTTTTTAGCATTTAATTAAAACTTATTATTTTTAAATCCTCACAACGGCATCTTTCTGAATTCTTCCCTTGAAATGAAAAATAGCCAAATGCCTTTGGTTAAAATCCTTTCTCTACACCACTCCTGAATCCTTAGATAATGTTAAAGCACTGAATAATTCATCACAAGAGATCATTATTTTTAAATATTGAGAAATAAGATAGAATGGTATTATAATGAAAAATATTGGCCTGCTACCTTAATGATAGTGATTATGAGTTCTATTCCTGAAATAACAATGCCTGTTTTCAACAGAAAATCATTTTACCGATGCTTCCAGGCAATTTCAAAAACTTGTCTTAACATTAGATCATTGCTAAGGGCTCCAGGACCTGAATAATACATTCCTACATTACTGTGCAGAATCTATTACATTTTTTTTTAATTATAGCATCATTTTTTATTTTTTTTTATTTTTTATTTTTTTAAATAATAAATTTTATTTTATATTCCCCATACAATTGCAGCCCCCCCATTCTGACCCCAATCCCTCCCCTCCCGCCCCCCAAAAAGTGTCTCTGGTTCATAGTTTTTTGTTGAGAATCTATTACATTTTAAAGGCTAATTTTTTACCATGAGCTCTAAATCTCAGTCAGTACATTTATAAAGGAATAAATTTTCTAAGTGTTGCTCTAAAGTTCTTGAGGGCAAATTAATGGAGATATGCATCTGAGATGGAACCTGCAACCTCCTCAAGAATGGGAGGAAGGAAATATTAGCCTTTATATCTTCATAACCTCCTGATTGAAACCAACCCCACTGAATGCAACATTCAATCTGTTCTGGTTTAATACCTATACAAGTGATAATAAATGCAAAACTGGTATCTTAAGAATGATAAACCAGAAATTAACTTCTAGAATGTGCACACATGTGTTCAACACTATAGTTCTTTCTTTTCCCCTGGGTTGAGAAAAAGATGCATTGCTTTAGTCATCACACAACAGAAGAAAAGAGTTGAGAAAATATCTTAGATGAGGCAGGGACTCATGAAGTATGTAGGAGTCATGAATAGGAGAGGCTTTAAACTAAAGAACAGAGAGACTGAGATGGTGAGTTAGGACCAAAGCTCAGGAGGAGAAATAAGCAGTGACTTACCTGTAACACTTTGGTCAAATTGTTAAATAGAGCTTGGCCAGCACTCACTTTGTATTTCACACCTCTGACTGTGCCATTTTTGCTTACAATATTGACTCTTCTTGTACCAAAACCCTTCTCACTGGCAGCCCTTGCTAACACCAGCAAGTTATCCTGGTTGTTATCATCCTCATCACCTTCTGATCCTATGTGACCATTTTGCTGTCCATCAGCCTCGCTTAGTCCATCTATGCCACAGACACTGGCACATTCAGAATCCAGAGAGCCTGACTGTTGCCCATCTTCATACACCTCCTTCAGAACTCGCCCACTGTGAGATGATGCTATCCGAAACCGGACTTTGCGTGGCCTGTCATTTTCTGGCTTCATCTCCCTTTTCAGCATTAGCACATCCACCCACATAGACAGTTCACATAATTCTGGATCCCTAGTTACTGCCTTAGTCCACAGGCCGCATAGCAATATCAGAGCCTAACTCTGGGGACAACAGTACTCAAATGAAACTAACATCAAAAGGAAAGAAGATTCCAAGGACTCTCAGTGCACCTCTGCTATTAATAATGAATGTGTGTGTGTGCGCGTGCATGCGTGTGCATGTGCTATGGTTACCTTTAAACTAAAACCTGCAAACTGATCCTAGTCTTTAAATATTAAATAGCCATGGTGGACTCTTTAACAAGACAAGTGCAAGAAAGTGGCATGCAAAGAAACAGAAAATAAGTGTGGGGCAAGGAAACGAAAGACTTGAGCTTTAAAGCCACTGATGAGTGCTGAGAGGACCTTAGCAGCAAAACTATCTCTACTGTTCACTATCCAGAATGGAAGCCATAAATCAAATGTGTAGGATAGGAGCAGTCATAGACTTCTCAGTGTTCATTTCTTCTATCTTTCACCTAAGTGGGCAATCTTTAAAGAGGTCAGTGAACATGCTATGTGCCTGATAGAACTATCAATAGTAGTCTTATTAAATCACCAATTAGACTTCATCTACATTTTATAAGATGAATTTTCAACCAAAATCTTCATGCACTAGTATCTTTGCTAAATAGCTTTTTAACACACTGTGAAAATGAGAACTTTTACTTTGTTGATTTCCCACTTCTGCTAGTAGTAAACAGACAGAAAAGTTTTGGAAAGGAAAGTGAACAGTGAGGAAAGAATGGAAAAATCCCCAAGCCAGCCAGATCAGCCAGAGTGATCAGCATTGATAAATGTTATATGCAAATCATCCATGCATAAAGAAGGGTCCTCCTTACATTGTGCTCAGTGTGTTTTCTGTCACTTTGGCAAGTACCGGAAGAACCTCTTATGATATAAGGCTATATTGAAACTTACTGTCTTCAGTGCCCCAATGTGTCTGTACCTCCAGAGGAAGGCTACTCAGCTAGTCTTCATCCTGCACTTCAAGTTTTTTAATGTTTATAGCTTTCATCTGATCATGAACTTAAATGAGAAAATTCAGACGATACCACACAACTAAAAATAATAGCACAACATTGAAAATAAAAGTCACAGTCTCACAAGGGGTTTAATAATTTTGTGGATTTTTTTCTAATGTGTTTGAAAAGGATATGTTCTGAGGTTCACAATATGATAGCCCAGCCTCTGACATTTAAGGAGAGAGGAAACAGTGCTTAGCATTTGCTCATGGGATGGGAGCAAGTATGATATATCATTTGTGAACAAGTTGGTAAGACAGAGTGCCCTGTCCTTGTTACTGTTCTTCTTCCCCATTTACTAGATGAATGATCCCACCAATCTCAAAGACAGAGCTTATCAGAGTCACAGAGAAATTCTCAGCTACCACCACCCTTCATTGGATTACATCATGAGCAAAAAATAAGCCTTTATTGTGTTAAGAAATACAGATTGAAATTTAAGATTTTTTGTTAGGAGCAGCTATCATTGCTGAATCCTACTAATGTTCTCTCACATATAAAATCATACTGCATTTATTATCTTGCACTTTTCATTCAGTATTCTATATTGCGTCATTTCCTATATCTTTATCTCTAAAAAAATACTAATAATAATGTGTGTTAAATGTCCTTCCAATAACAGTACAATATATTATTTTATTCTTACTGTATTTCTAGATATTTAAAATATTTAGTAAGATAATACTGTACTGAATATTCCTGCTCAAAAAATAAGTTTCCATATAGCCAAGTAATTCTTTAGTGTAAATAAATTCCCTTGGGTAGAATTGTTGATATAAGAATTTTTTTAAATATAGTTTTTATACAAACTGCCAACTATAAGAAAAGCTGTATATTTTACATTTCTACTAGTATATGAGTTCCTATATTACTTCATTCTTACCAATATCAATATTGAGAATTACAAATTTTCAATACTTTTTATCTTGTCAAGTTGAATAGCAGTATTTGTTGATGGTAAGTCCCCCAAATTTGAACACTATTGATTACCTTCATTCTGAATATTATCTTCATATAGAACTTTCACTGAAGAGAAGAGGGAGAAAAATGAGAATCTCTATATCATGGCCAGTCAAATTGAGAATAAAACATAGGATGGAAGGAAGGAAAAGACAAAATAATAGGATGGAAGGAAGGAAAAGAGAGTGAGAGGAAGAGGGGCAGTAAGGAAAGAAAGGGAAAGTGGTAGGGAAGGAGGGAAAGAGAAAGAGAGAATTTATCATCAAAGAGAGATGTATCAACTATATCCAAATGACAATATGAAGTAACTTGAACTTGGCAAAATAAAGTAAAAGATTATATAGTCAAAGGATATAACAGAAGAATTTAAGTAAGGAAATACCTATTGGGACAGAAAAAAAAAAAATGATGCAATTTTACATTCAAATGTCCAGATCATTCAGAGCAAAAAAAATCAAAATTCTGTGTTTGTCCCAAGTATTTTTTTTTTTTTGGTCTGGAGCTACCATTTAACCTGTCCCAGCTCCATCTTTCTAGTTGTTGAAGTTGGAGGCAGTATACTATAGTACAAATAAGATTTTAGAGTCAAAGGATCCCAACACAACTTGGTGAGAATATTCTTTCACCATCTAGATCCTCTGTTTTCCCATTAGTAGAATGGAGACTACAATATCTACCTCTGGGAGTTGTCCTTACTATGTATCTGGGACATATCAATCAATATATTTCAACAAGGTACACATATACTATGTGTCCTGTGGATAAAAATCACTTTTAACTAAGGAAAACAATGGCTATACCTGGTCACTGTCACTAAATATATTTGAAGAATAGAGAGAATTTATTAAAAAGTTTGTAATGATTGGGCCTCCTCAGTGGCATAGCGGGTTGAACGCAGTGCTGTGAAACTGTCTGCAGCCTCTGCAGCATGGGTTTGATTCCCGGCTGGCTGGGAAGATATCCACATGGCATGGCAGACCTCTCCTATCTCACCCGCTGCTCCCCTCAGCAGTGTTTTCAGTCTGTGTGCCTCTTCTGCTCCCTGCTCTGTCTCTGGTGAATTTTCTCACCCTCCCACACCTCTGGCCTGTACCCCATTCTTGTATAAATAAGTAAATATTTTTTTAAAGTTTGTGATAATTTAAATATATATGTTTAAATGTACAAAATGTATATATACACTTGCATATATGTGTATATATTAAATAATTAGACTGGTCAAAGTCAATTCTCTATCAAAGATGAACTGAAAATGCAGTAGACTGGAAACCAGTTGGTCACAATTATAAGGAAGCATCTGCTAGTGTGAAAAGATATATGCCCTGATATGTAATATGCCCTTGACAATTATCATAAGCTTAAATAAAAATTAGTTCTTTTCATTGGATAAATCTTGGCAATTCTTCTTTCACTCAAGCAATGAGCAGCCCATGAGCACCTACTGAGAACACCCATGGATAAGTCATAACAAGCCACCATGGTAAACATAAAGATATACACAACTATGCAATGTTTCCATTGGCAACATATGCTTAAACACAGTAACTAGAGTTCAATGCAGCATATTTTATGCTGATGTAAAAATCCCTTTTCCTTGAAATAACCAAATTTCTAGTCACTTCCAATACAAGGCATCAACACTATTCGCCACACTCTCCCACCTCATTCTGTGTGCAATGTGTTCCCATCTGTTTGATGTCATATAGCAACTATTCCATTTACCATCTCTTCCCAGCATCAACCTATAATTCCTTACAATTTAATTGTTTTGTTGGCTTAACTTCCTCCCTTCACAAAGAATTCCTTCTCTTCCTTCAGATATATTCTTAGAATCGATAATTTATTTAACAGTATTTACTAAGCACCTACTAAATATCAGAGAGTTGTTGGATCCATACAGGTGAACAAAATAAGTATGATCCCTCCCATTAGAGGTAGACAGATAATATACAGTAAAAAAATAAAAATAGAATAAAAACAATAGCCAGAAATATCAAGGAAAAGAAGTGGATATAATGAGAAGTGATAAAAATGAGGAAGAGAGAGGGCCTACCTTAGACCAAATAATATATGTCTCCCTGGAGAGACATTAAAGTGGGGTCTACCAAAATTAGAAGAGATTGATCATGTAAAGATTTTAGGTGGGCAGGAGTTCAAGACAGTTACTGTGCCTTAGTGGCATGGGCAGATGCCCTGAAGCAAAAAACCAGCAGGACGTTCAAAGAACTAGAAAAAGAGAATGGCCAAGTTTGATTCCCACACCACAAAGCTCTTCTCAATACGTGACAAGACCAGCAAGATCTTTCCTTCCCAACCTAGTCCTTGATTTATTCAACCCCCTCAAATTATGAAGCAAATAACCTGTAAATCATTACCAATACAGAAACCTGTAAACAACATTACCAGTATAGAAATATTGCAAGTGCTCCTACATTTAACACCAATTGGCATCTATTTATTTAAAATGGTAATTATAAATTCCAGAAGCTATAGAGAGGGTAGAATGTTGCATTAACCAAACTAGAACTGCATTGGAAAATCCCATAAATCATGAATCCAAAGCAAATATTCTCAAATGCCAGTAGAAATAACCTATAAATGTGTCTAGAAAATGGCTAGATCTAGACTTGAATATTTCTTGTTGATAGCAATTTTTTAATCAGAATATGTAATTACTTCCTTACATGTAGAGAAATTATGACTTACAAAGGTATTATTATTTTACCATCATGTCTAAGTATTGACCTACATACTACTCTGTACATGATTACAATTGCAAGTTGAGTAGTAATTTCAACTATATTCTGGCTTTTGGACCATAATTTTAAAGAATTCCTTGCATGGTAAACATGAGCAAAATGCCTCAATTTGCTGCTACTTTATACCTATCATATTTACTCTTGTTTTTTAGTCTTGAAAACACTAAAAACTTATCATTAAAAGTAAAGCAGAAACTTGTCAGTTGTTGACAAAGACATAGTCATTTTTCCAGCAACACTTGTC